CCATGGAGTTGATATTCTTTCTGGTTCTCTATTACTAAGGTTTTATTCGTGAAATACTGATTCAACGTCTTTAATCGATGTTTCTTACATGCTATGCACGTACAAAATCGATAAGTACCATGGGCACACCTTTCTTCTTCGTTTCTTTTCGATGATATCAGCTTTGTGTTTCCTTTTTTTTTATGTTTACAGTAATTCGTATGATGTAAACCAGACTCCAACAAGGGCAAATAAAATCTTATCTTGCCCTATATTACGACCGTCGTTTTAATTTGTTTAGAATGTCATCTGGCGCGTCCAATATACATGTTTGTTGGTGCAATGTTATTAACAAGTTATCTTAGCTGACACACAGAGTAATTGTATGTGGAGGTTGATAAACCGTCCCTAAAACAATGTCAAGTAAGATTATCCCTGCAGTATGATTCTAAATTACGTGCTACAAAATCCAATCCGTTTATGACTCTTATTTTTAATCCTCTTTATAAAGGCATCTACTTAAAAGATCTTCTCTTATTCCGTCACGCGGAATACGAATACAATCTAACATTTCTTCTTCTACAACAAGAAGGCAAAGTCATCAATATCCCCCCACAATGGTAAAATACTCTTCATGAATATGTCAGCTAGTTATGCGTCAATCACCAATGGCTGAAGGGATGGTGTAAATCCAGCTAGGGTTCATGCAGGTAGCAAAGGTACTGTAAGTCCCCATGGTCCCTAGTATGGTGATCTACCTTCGGTTGTTGGTGATCTATAGCCCGTTTTTATGTTGTACTGTCTATAGTGATTTAATTTTACGTTAGCGTACTAGTTTTAAATTTATATCTGTGATACTCTAGTATTTTTTACTGTCCTTCGATGACAGGTTTTATGTTCTAGCTTTATTGATTTTCATATTGATATAAACTAGATTGTTCGCGTCACGATATGGCTGAAATATTGCCAATGTGACGCTAAATAATAACTCACTCGATCACTCAGCTAGTTATGACTATGTCAAATGTACGGTTTGTTGCACCTCAGTAATGTTGATACTGGAAATAGAGCAGTATTCTTGATTTATGTCATTAGATTCTTGGATACCCACAAAGTGGATCGATGTGTTTGCCACGGCTCTTTTACATGCTATGATATATCCCATCATCAAATGTGTGTAACTTAAAACGTCTAACGTCAAATGTGGGATGAGTATCAGAAACCCCTGACAGTTATAAAAGAAAAACAACCAAGTGGGAAAGTTTTTTTGTTATTGAATCCTTATTTCTCGGGTTCCAACGAAAAGCATTAGAGTTGTATTAGAGAATCGTGATGTTCAGATATGTCTCAACAAACCCTCGCAGCTGGTGAGATTGCTTGTCGGTGATGGTGATTTTCACGTGGAAATTACCCTGGAAACAAAACATATTGTTGAATCAGTTCATTTTTATTATTCAACTCTCATAATCTGCTAAATTAATCAAAAAAGCCAAACCATGTGTTCGACTCCATCACAAGCATACGTTTATTAATCACTATCAGATACTAGTGGTAATGTCACCGCTATCACGAGGTGACTTGCAAACCGAAACTAATAGGTTGAACCAGAAATCAAACGTCATAAAATGGATAAACACGTTCAATGAACACTCACAGATATACGTACATACGATGCGTTAAATATGTGGAATTAGCTATACTTCAGAGACAGAAGATTGAATGTTAGTAAACTAATTATAATATTGCCAGTGTAAACTGTCTTAAAAGGAGGATGATCTGGCGCTATACATCGTTCTTTGACCGAGATTTTTTTTAAAATGGAATCCAGTACAAAAGAGCAATGAACAAGTTGTCAAGTTTATTCACATTTTACATCTTTCCGTAAGTGTACGTATAGTAACTGTAACCTCCCACCCAACCCCCATCCAGCCCATTTGCTTATTGCAAAGAACATACATAAATTAGAATGGGACCCTATGTTCGTGGAGCCACCAGGCAACAGACCAGCGTGCCCTTGCCTTAAGACGGCCCTGCCGGAAAGCTCCATTCCCGGTTGTTAACTGAGGTTCAAATTTGATCACATCATTGCGATCATCTTATGTTTTGTTAATAGCACTTCAATCATTTTTCCAGTCTTTATGCTACTTAACATAAGCCCATTAACAGCTCGACAAAATACACTTGGAGTGAGTGAGTGAGTGAGTTATTATTTAACGTCACATCGGCAATATTGCAGCCATATCGTGACGAGAACATATTTGACATTGAAGTGGAATATATGTATATTATAAAAACCTGTCGACGAAGGACAGTAAAACAACTAGAATATCACAATTAGAATTAAAACTAGCGTGGAAAGTTTAAAACTAATAGCACTATGGGGACAATACAATATAAAAACCGGCTATAGATCGCCAACAACTGAAGGTAGATCACCATACCAGGGACCATGGGGACTTACATTAAAAATACACTTGGAAGGAATAGAAAATTGTAAGTGAATTTCTCGAATCATACATATTATGTTTAACGTTGATCGCATTCTCGATACACACCTGACTCATAGAACATATTCAGTCAGATGAAAGACACCCAAATAATTTAGCGTTGATTACGCTATAATTTATAACGTGGTATAAACATGATGCGTTATATCATTAGCAAGCTGCATCATGTGAAATGATGCATGTAAAAGTCATTACTCTATTGTCGTATCACCAGCTAAAGGGAAAGCAAACTTCAACTTCTCTGTACGATATCTTGTATGGTCGTCCTTTAGTTTTGTTTGTTGTTTCTCGACGCACTCACTCAACATTTTTTCAGCTGGATGACGGATGTCTGTTAACATTCGTGTCGGGACCAGACAATCCTGTTGACTGGCCCTAAGAGCATCGGGTTATTGGAATACGATGACATGTGTCAAACAAGTCAGCGAGTCTGACAACCTGATCCCGTTAGTCGCCTCTTACGACAAGCATGGGTTGCTATAGATCAATTCTTACCCGGACCTTGGCGGGATTCATCCTTTATCGAGTACATAAATTGTGCGAGTTTTAAGATAAATGACAACAAATTCCAATCAGCACATGTGACAGAAAATGTATAATTTTCAGTTCAAACTGGTTTGAAGTTTTCTGAAGATGGTATCTTTACTCGTCGAGGCGACATGTAGAATTATGTTATGCTGAATTTGCGTATTTTCGTAGTGTTTTATAGCAAGGCGCGTATATTTTTCAAGCGGTTAGGATAATGATTTATCCCCCATTAGGGAGAAGGTGAATTTAATGGACATTGGGCACAAGTGGAGCGTGATGTTAATGTACTCACGTCCAGAATGAGAAGCCAGTAAGAGCTGAGGCTAGAGACAGTGAACTTCGTCGGCGCCATGTGGAACCTGCCTGGCTTAAACGGGCAACTACAAGGGATACCGTTGGTAATAAACTGTACAGGACACATTCCATTTTGTTTGAAGCTGTTCAGGAAGCTGCAGGGGTAATTGTAGTTGCTGTGGTAAAAAGTACACATACCGAAAGTATCGTTACCGTATATATATATAAGCGAACGGGACAACATTCCTGGAATCTGAGAGTAAAAGGGAAAACATTGTTACATCATTTGATTGTTTGCACTCCTCTGTTGGAGTTGTGTCAACAAACGCTTTCTGAGGGAAACTATGTATTGGGGGATGCTATTGGTAAAGCAGCATATGCTTACCTATTTTGCGGTAATGCTGAGCATAAGGACTGATGCGATTTGATAAAAATAATCATGATTGCTTAAATCAGTTACGACAATATGTAAATGTTGGCAAAATCCTGAAAAATGTATATTGTCATTTTGACATTACAGAGAACCTAGCTGTGTTGCATAATTGGAAGTTTTCGATAGGGATAGGGCCATGAACGGCGAGAGATTAAAATATTCGCACATTCGCTTGCTAACATATTTTCTGTTTTATGGCATACATTCGATATGGCAGAATACGACAAAAAGGATTTATGTAAAAAGGCTGTGGCATGAAGAGCAGAAGGAGAGGATTTTTTCGTACCTAGAATCTGTGTAGAAAAGCTGCTTACTGACGTAAAAGGATTCTTGTAAAACTAACTTAAGGCCATTCATGTGCGTTTTTTCTGGCATTTGCTTGTATATTTGTAACTTTTGGTAACACTAAAACAAAGTTTAATACATCGCTTCTTTTTTTCTTTGTAACCAAAAATAATTCTTAATTACATCTTTAAAGTCATCTCTGAATGGAAACAGATTTGTACACATTGGGTTTATAAATACAAAAGAATTTCCATTTTTTATCATTATTGCACATTAAAATAGATTAATACAGCAAGTGGGTTGGGGTGATGATGGCACAGGCGCGCTGGTTCAGCTAACATCAGCTCGGGGTTCTTAGCCCCCTCTACACGTTGCCCATACAACAAATGACACTTCTCCATGCCACAACATAAACGTTTGGGACAATATGTAGATAACCCAACACTGCTGGGGTAGCCTAGTGGTTAAAGCGTTGGGTCGTCACGCCGAAGACCCGGGTTCGAATCCCCACATGGGTACAATGTGTGAAGCCCATTTCCGGTGTCCCCCGCCGTGATGTTGCTGGAATATTGCTCAAAGCGGAGTAAAACCAAACTCAGTCAGTCAGTCAGTCGGAAGGACTGTGTTCCTGGCAGCAAGCCCGGGTACTCTCGCAATGACTGTCAATAGATCGGAAGATACCAAACCAAAGGCATCAGGAACCATGGGGAATCGGACAAATCGGTACTCGGATGCAAGCGTGACATTTCGAAATTGACTTTCGCATATTTGCCGTGTTTCTCCTGAACTTTTGCAATAACATTTGCTTCAAAAGGGATATGACTTAAATCTCAACTCTCTCAAGCACACAGTTACGGAAATATCTTTGTACCTATCGCAATACTTACCACGTCCCCAAATTATTCACGCAGGGTACCTTCGTCCAACCTCCATTTAGTCTCCCTTTTTCCATGAGGATATCCATGACGATGTTGTCAGAGATATCATGAGTGATGAATCCATCAAACGATACAATGATATCCCCAGGAAGTTTGATAGGACTTGGGTTGATCTCCAGTTGTGGGCTCAACACCCATGTGTCAAACATCCCCGGTGCGCCTTATACAATGTCAATGTAATATGAGTCAAACTGGGACAGGGACTGGAACGATACTGCGAAGTATATCTATTCGAGAACAGACTGAATTTGAACAGCTCAAGTGCATTCATAAAACTCTTACAAGTTTACATATATTTAAGGAAGGATGTTCAGTAGCATGATGGATAATTACTGGACTGCCTTAACTCCCGTGTATAACAAAATCAATACCAGAAACTTTAATGAGATGATTAACATGGTAGCATGTCTTCATTGAAATGGTAAACAATTTAAGGTGAGTTGTTGAAAGCGAGGTACAGGCCAGGGACCTTTCTTCTACGTGCATAATGTTTCAGTGTCTCTATATGAAGACTTTTTAGCCTGATGCATATACATGGGAGGGTATATGCAGAATATGTCAAGATGCATTTAATTACCATGCACCTATCAATATGTGTGTTAGAGAGTGAATGGTGAATGTTTATCCATTATTGGTTATATATTCGAAATGGTATTTAGAGAGAAATCATCAATTTGACTTCATCAGAATTCAGGCTTGGCACCAGCAGTAAAGCGATTATTCATTTGTTCCTTTTAAATGCAAAAGACAAAACTCTTTCCATTATCATAAGATATATGTGTTAAAAGAAGATCCCATGTACGACATGTTTATGAATTAATACAAAATATTCCACTCCATCGCCGTACCCGTACAGGTCAGTGATTTATTAACCTAAACAGTAAACACACGCGAGAACACATGGAAGAAGTGAACAACGTAACGTAATCTTGATCACTGATACACCACATTTCGAAATCTTTTAGTTGTGTCTAAAACAGTTTCCAAAGCTTAACCTTGAATGTCTTGTAGAAAGAGCGTGCTCAATTGTACCAAAAAAGTTATGTCATGAGGCATTGGCACATCGTATACACACTGATTGACTTTAGATAAATGTTATTAGGGTTTGGGGCTGTGGGGTAGCCTAGTGGTTAAAGCGTTGGCTCGTCACGCCGAAGACCCGGGTTCGAATCCCCACATGGGTACAATGTGTGAAGTCCATTTCTGGTGTCCCCCGCCATGATGTTGCTGGAATATTGCTAAAAGCGGCGTAAAACCAAACTAAGTCAGTATTAGGGGTTTTTTTCCTTTTATCTCGAGTAAATTCTAGGTCTACAGAAATAAAAGGAAACAAATTGTCCTTCCCTACTAGCTCTCTCGCCTTTCAAAAAAAATATACAGTGTTCTTTGCATCATCAAAACAGTCAACATTCCGTAAATATTACACTCGTATATAAAATTTATCTAATATTGACCTCAGTCTTTACGTCACCAACCATACGGTTATGCGCATGAATCAGTTGTAACCAACCTTCATGTCCGTGGAATCGCAAACAGGAAAAATTGTATGAAATCAAATTTGAGATATACTATCCCAAAAAGGAAACGCATAGGCGATTTGTATTTTTAAAAATCTACTAATGACCTATTGTGTTTAAACGAATCATCAAAATATGTAACAAAAGTGTTGATAACATATGATTTTACACAATTGCACAAGTAAAAAAATCGATTTTACCTGAAAACGTTGATTTTGATGAGATTTCTTACAAGGATGAAAAAGGCTTCGCCACAACGCAACAGAAATCACCTTCCAGTTGAAATTGTGCAGCAAAGAGCATGCACTGTCTGGCAATAAAATCCAGATTACTTTCGGAAATTGGCATTCGTTTTGAATGAGTTTCAAGGTCAAATCACTACGTCGGCGACACGGAACATCGCCATTGAAAGAATGCACGGTGGAGATTACCAATCTTCTGTTGCCAGGCGTCTGAATGTTAGTCTGAGCAAGATATCACGGCTTGCAGCTCGTTACAACCAAACAGGTATAACAAATGACCGTCCCCGTACAGGCAGACCTCGAGTTACCACCGCAGGGCAAGATCGGTACATCCGGGTACTACATTTGCGTGATTGTACTGTCACGCGTGAGAGCACAGCAGCCAGGGTGCCTGGACTTCGGAGGGTATCCGGTCAAACTGTACGGAACAGGTTGAAGGAGATTGGTCTGAGAGCCAGGAAACTCGACGTCGGGACCGTGCTACGTCGTCACCATCGCGCTCAACGTCTCCGGTTTCTAAAAATATCCACTTGGTTGTATAGACATTAGCTTCTTCTAAACAGGTGTAAAAATTCATGCCGTAAAGTCTATTTGTGGACGAGTTATACATGTTTGAAAATACAACATTTTCGCAACAGATTTCTGGTCTATTGTTTCTCTTTTGGGATGATCAATACTTATGCAGATTATGTAATTGCATTATTTATTACTCACCTGAATAAGTGCTAATGAAGGCCTCAAAACACCCTCGTAGTTGTTGGGTCAGTTTTCGTTGATCGTGATTTTCAGGTGGAACTCAGCCTGAAAACGAATCAATACGATTTGTTAAGATTAGTCACAGACTAAAATTGAAAAACATAAAATACGCGTTCAGCTGATACAAACACAGATCGATGGGTAAGATGGCTAGGCTCATCATCAACTCAGGACTCTTTGCTCCCTCTACAGGCAGCTTAACTGAATTACTTGCAAAAATTACGTTTCATATGTATATTTTGATGCATGATCAGACATTGTCGGTTTCGAGTAGGAAGTGACAGCCATAAGCAGCAAATAGAAAGCCCACTGTAATTCATTTTTCAGGCGACTTCATGTTATCTGACAGGTGTGTTAGGATAGTTACCCTATTTGATAATTTTAAGCTACCTTCGAGGGAACAGTCGCACCTATTCAGAGATCTCAAAGAAAATGAATTTGCTTTGTATGCATACCGATGTTCAACAATTACGTACGTCATAAAAAATATCTCTCCATAGTCCCCTCATTCTGTTTAAGGAGAACTTAGTCATCGGTATTGAAAGTTTATCTGGGTTGAATGGGCAGGTACAGGGGATACCATTGGCCGTCAGCTGTGGGGGGCATGTTCCATGCTGATTGTACGCGTTCAGGAAGTGGCAGGGGTCAGTGTAGTGACTGTGGATACAGAGGAAATACTGAAAACATGGACTTGGCTAAACAAGGATAATCTGTTCTGTTACTCTGCAGGTTCGTGATGCTGAAATAGAAGCAGATTCTTCGAGAGTGCAGTTTTGCATTTCAAAACAAAATATCATTTTACGTTTCAATTACGAAATTATGTCAGATTATGTCTCTGAATGGCAATAGATTTCACGTCTGTTTTGTCTTTACGAGCTTTCTAATTTTGTGCCCTGTTCTGTCCTTTGATCTTCATCATTGTCCAGAATCAAAGGTTCCTCAAATAACAGGTTCAAGTAATACTGCAGCTCCATTCGGACAGATATGTGTATTGTAATGTGACCCTAACGAATGCTCGAGTTTAATTGGTCAAAATAGAATTCAAATCCGATATCTAGTTCTTTAGAGTCCCCATGGACCCTGGTATGGTGATCTTCCTTCAGTTGTTGGCGATCAGTAGCCTGTTTTTATATTGTGTTGTTGTGTATAGTGATATATTTTTATGATAGTGTGCTAGTTTTAAATTAAGAGCTGTGATATTCTAGTAGTTTTACTGTCCTTCGCTGACAGGTTTTTATGTTCTCAGTTTATTGTTTCTTATATTGATATAAATTAAATTGTTCTCGTCACGATATGGCTGAGATATTGCCGATGTGACGTTAAATTTTAACTCACTCACTCTAGTTCTTTAGAACAGTTCGATGCAGATAACAATGGCTGTAAATAACCCACTAGATTTTCGATATTCACAATATCTCCTCGGATTAGTTTCAGGAAACCCATGTTTCTGTGAACAGTTTGGTAATTTATGTCTTAATAACAGCATTGGATGTGCTGCCTTTCCTAAATGGTAAACAGCTCCTAAAACATGAGCTCACACTAACCACATTGAACCGTGTCTCAGACTTTGTCATGTGGTGAAAATATGATTCGTCCAGGGAAGATAGATAAGGACACACTTTATAGATGCATCACCTGGATAAAGAAGTTGTTTATCTATAACGCTTGTCCCTATCTGACTCTCCAGCTTCTAAAAATGCCACTCAAAGAATTCGTTCAGGGAAGTTAATTTTTCAAAGAGTTGACCTCAGCGGACCGTGGCTGTATTCATATATCCAAGTTTGGCAGTAAAAGGAGTAGGGTGATGTGTTTTGATGTACAATTTGCAGGACACAGGCATAGCACTTCACTTTAGAAACACCTCAGTCAACACTTACTATGCACTAAAATTATATCTGCATGGCACCTTACTTAGCACAGAGTTTGAACAAACTTTCCTTGGTTTGCCTTATACAATGTAATATGAGTCAAACTGGGAATGGGGCGGAAACAATAATGCAAAGTATATCTATACGAGAACAGACTGAATTTGAACAGCTCAATGGCATTCATTAAACTCTTACTAGTTTACATATATTTAAGGAAGGATGTTCACTGGCATCATGGATAATTACTGGACTGCCTTAACTCCCATGTATAACAAAAACAATACAAGAAACTTAAATGAGATGATTAACATGGTAGCATGTCTTCATTTTTTTGCCACCAGTAAACGCCTGCACCAACCTCACCCCGCTTACCATGTACCCATGTCAGACGTACAGGGCACCTTGGTGTAACGGCCCAGCAACTGTTTTTCTACGAGGACATCCATTGTGACTTGATCAGCGATACTGTGAGTAATGATTGCATCGAAGGATGTTGTGAATTCCAAATTTGTGAAGAAAGGATCTGGTCGAAAGTCAAACTGTTTCACTGACACCCATGAGTCACCGACACCTGAAATGGTTTTGTGAAGAATATCAAATAACAAAAAGTAAATAACAAAAAAGACTTTGTCGTCACATGTAAAGTTGCAGTGATTCTCTGCGTTGTACATACATAGTGCCTCCGCTCTTGGTTATGTAATGTACTGTAAGTCCCCATGGTCCCTAGTATGGTGATCTACCTTCAGTCGTTGGCAATCTCTATCCTGTTTTTATATTGTGTTGTCATTTATAGCTGAAATATTTTAGATTTAATTACTAGTTTTAAATGGTTATCTGTGATACACTAGTAGTTTTACTGTTCTTTGTCAACAGACTTTTAATTTCTAACTTTGTTCATCTTTAATATAATTATTAATTGTTCCCGTCACGATATGGCTGAAATATTGCCGATGTGACGATAAATATTAACTCACTCACTCACTCACTTGGTTATGTACATGTCACAGACAATCCACAGTAGATTGTGTACATACCACAGTCCCTCCATTTAGTGAAGTCACTTTGCTGGAATCCTGAACGGACCCCTTGGGCAAGGGCAATGAAGAGAAGAACCACCAAGAGCATGGTTACACATGCAGTGTATATAATAATACATCTGTTTGGAAACAACAGGGTTTGTAGATAAGCGCTGACATTGGTACACAAGGCCACGGCTATGTGCAACGAAAACATCTGTGGTTTCAGGATTGTTTAACGCAGAATACAAAATCTGGCATCTCTGTGAAATTTGGAGACAGGACATTTAGGCATGAAGTAGACATCCCAAAGGACACCAGTGGTTCTCCCTTCCTTCCTAACCTGTCTTTCTTTATGCATCAGATTTTCCTTCCATAATTGCAAATGTTATGTTGACATTATCTCACATTGTTCAGTGAGTGTCTAATAGCAAATTCCTTTCCTCTCATGAAATAAAAAAGACCCGCGAAGCCGCCCCGTCAAGATATATACATACATTTCAGAGTAATGATCTACTATTCACAAGACTGTATGGCATGAGGGATGGATTTCTAAGAGACAGCTTTTCTCTTATGGCTATCAATATTTCAGCAGCTGCTGTCTTTAGTCTACATCTCACAACGATTGAAAAATAATCTGACATGCTGTTTATTCGAAGATTACAAAACGATGCAATGCCTTAACAGTTTTCAAAATGTTTTACGGAAAAAATGAGTATTCCCAAATCTGACACATCGTTCACCAAGTGTTGTCAGAAGCTTATTATTAATTATATTAACTTGCACCATGGGTTCCCGTTAACTCCGACTCTGATTATATACCTACAACAAACTTATAGATCTAAATGATTAAGCCCCGCTTTACTTATTAGCAACATTGGCTCCATAAACACCGCTGAGAACACAGAAGTGGTCGGCATCGTCTGGACATAATAATTTTATGAAATTTGTCTTGATCATAGAGGTCAAGCTGTCACTCTCAAAGTGCATGTGTGTAATTAATTAAAAAAGATAATAATGAATTTCTCAACGGTTACCTTTTATTAAAATCTAATCAGGAACAATTTGAAAAGATAGGCGCCAAAAGCACACGCACTACAACACCGAAAACAACAGAAAACGTTTTGTCAGAAACTAGATAACAATTCTATATTTGACAACCTGATAAACTACTTGAAAATTAAATAAAGATAGCTTATTAGGCCAGAAAGAAAATCCCTTGAATCAAGTATACCCAGACATTTACGATAGCAAGGAAATATTTACTTCCAATATATGTAAATGTTTTTGTCATTCTTGCAAATTATGCTCATTGTCATTTTGTCCACGTAAAGTAGTTGTCTTAAAGCAGTATCTGTAAGCAGCAGTCAAGCAGCAGTAGAAAACAGCTGGATCCGGTTGTATCAAACTTTAATGAATCATTTACGTGTCATTAAACGTTCATTACTTAATGTATTATTAAATTCTGTTGTACTCACTTTTAATGACGTCGTGTTGTCATTAATTTTAATGGGTTTTATGACTTAATGAAATGGCAGCTAGTCGTAAGACCGAAATTGGGCAACCTGTTTGCCGTGGGTTTGCGCCCTGTGTCGGTGGAGGACGGGGAGTCAGGTGGTTGAGGGCACTGGTTCATGGAACAGCGTTCCTTTGCCAAACACACCACTTCGACCCCCTTACTTCACCTTGACGGTTGGTAAAATAGGTCCGGTTCTATCAATCGGCTGGCCATACCAGGCACTGTGCATAGCTTTTAAGTAATTGCACGAAATTCGATTTGGAATTGTTTCAGTTTTGGTCTTGGCACCCTTCGTTCATGTAACGCCATTTGATTTTTGTACTATGTTTATCGTGAATTCTGTCTAGAGTCTTCTGTCCAGAAGGCGGTGGCTCATGGGCCAATCTGGTAGAATTGTTTATTTTTTCTGCTGGAGCACATCACCCGGGTATCACTGGTGCTGCAACTCGGAGATCCACTTGCTTTTAGCACTACTCCATGGTGGGTGGGCATCTCGGACGATGAACCATCAAACACTAACCATGGCTTAACAAAACGTCCTCTTGACACTGATCATAATGATGATGATGATAACCATAGACAGCCCGAATCAAGTGACTACTGGCCACGTTTCTTTGTGATGGAGACTCAAGATAACACAAGATTGAAGTTGAATCCTTTTGCAGTACAAATAATGCATACAAGGCATTGCCGGTGGTGTAAAACATCGAAAGTTTACGTTCACGGGGACTGCTCGTTGAGGCAGCAAAGTCAACAGGCAACTACCCTGATGAATGCTGAAACGTTTGTTGGCTTGTCGGTATCAGTCTCTCCTCATAGATCACTTAGCACCAGCAAAAGAATCGTTAGAGACCGAGATTAATTGTTCACCGACATGTCCGAACTTGATATTGTTTCAGAAATGAAAGATCATGGGGTCACTTACGTTAAGCGTTTTACAACACGTATAAACCAGGAATCTATTCAGACGAACACTTACCTGTTTTCATTTTCTTCTCCCAATGCTCCCAGATCACTAAAAGACAGGAACCAAATGTTTCTCGTCACTATATGACCGAAACATTGCCGATGTGACGTAAATTTTTCACTCACTCACTCACTCATTCAAGGCAGGATACTGTAACATTAATGTCGACACCAACATGCCGAATCCTCTGAGGTGTTATGAATGTCAAAACTTTGGTGATGTTGTTAGTACTTGCACATTGTCTGTTGTGTGTGCTCACTGTGGTGAGAAGACAAATACAACAGAAGATCGTGAGAGTACCTGAAAGAAATGTACCAACTGCGCAGGCACTCTCTCAAAAGATTGTCCGATCCTGAAACAGCAGATGGAGATCAATAAGATAAAATTTACCCAAAACATTAGTTTTTCTGATGCCAAAAAGCTTGTCTTAAGATCTGAAATTAAAGAAACGTATGCGTCCAAAATTAAAGACAACATCTGCGTCCATTGCCAAAAACCAAGTCTGATACAAGCTGCTACAGATGAAATAACCGCTACAAAACTTGATTGGCTCAGAAACCGATTCTGGCTACAGATTGCGGAACCAATTCCTGGCACGCCCCAAACCCAATCCGAGCCATCTTATGATCATGGCACATAACAGCTCAGTCATCTCAAATGATTCAATCTAGCAAAAAGCGTTCAACAACTCGTCAAAAGCAAAAGCAAACCGAGGCCAGATTCTTAGAAAAACAAAGTGGCACACAGCTCTGACGATAAAATTAAATCATTTAACAAATACAGATCACTTGAGGACATGGACGTGTCCTAAAACGTCCATTCTACAGCTTGTCGCCTTCCAGAAAGGTGCGGGGTAGATCCCTATCACTCCACCGAAAAGATAGGCCTTTCCAAAACATATCGTTCAGTGGAACTGTAGAGGACTACAGACGAATTTTAATGAAATACAGCTATTAATCCAGGATGTAAGACCATCAGCGTTTGTGTCTGCAAGAAACGTATCTAAAACAAATAATAATTTTAACTTACGTCAGTTTAAAGCCTATCATTATTTTACCAACACTAATACTAAAGGTAAAATGCTAGAAGATTTCTTTTCCAATAATGACTCGTGTATATACAATGACGATTAAAGCACCTATCTGAATTCTGCAACTGGCACGTATTCTTCTCCGGATTTGTCTCTTGCTGATTCTAACCTCCTCAATGAAGTTGATTGGTCTGTTCACAATGACCTTTGTGGAGGTGACCACTTCCCAACTATCCTTTCAGAAAAAAACTCCATCTGATTCTCCATCGTATACTCGATGGAATTTTTCGATGACTAACTGGGGCTTATATCAAATTATATGTAAATAACATATGTTTTTTGTTATTATTATTATTATTATGTTTTACAGATTAAAGATAAAATGCAGCAGAGAGGGTTCGGGTGATCCTGGCACAGTCAGGCTGGTAAGGCTCATCATCAGCTCAGGGCCCTCGCCCCCTCTACACGCAGCCCAGACAGCGAATGGGACTTCTACCAGGAAACGCTGCCTAGTCGAACCCACCAAGAACTTTCCGGAGAATATGAAGGCTCCCTAACACTGCAGCCTTCTGCATTACCCAGAGTGTCAGAAGGGCTGTGCTCCCGGTGGAGAACCCGGGCACTCTCCTGATCTGTGCCAAGAGATCAGGAGGTACCAAACCAAGGGCACCGAGAACAATGGGGAGCCTGACGACAGTGTACTTGGGATGCAAGCGAGACATTTCAAAGGCGAGGTCCGCATATTTATCATGCTTTTCCTGAATCTTGCCAATCACATTGCTGTCAAAAGGGACAGAAAATTCAATGATATATATAAATTCATTGGCTTTATCAAAAAGGACAAGATCAGGTTTGTTGGCTGGAATTCTCCTCAGGCTGCATATGGGCCTATTCCAGAGAAGTTTGAAAGCATTATTTTCCATGACGCCCTGGACATGTTCAGGGTCGTACCATGGATGGACCTCGGAGTCAAAGCCACAGGCATGTCGGAGACGTAGTAGTAAAGCAACGAGCCATGCCATCATGTCGTTTAAGATATGATGTTTGTGCCAAGGAAGGGCATCCACTGACAAAGTCGACATCTTCATGTTAATATTGCTCTTTCAAGAATTTCATTTAGGCGACATTTAGGCAATTGCGAGTGGGAAGTGACTGGTCCTGAGCAGCAAAAAGGAAGCCCTCAGTTTCACATTTAAGACCAGCCGACTTCATCCAGGCGAAGGAGTCGGTGGGATTGCTATTCTGTTCCACACACACGCATGTACACACAATGCAATGGCTTCTCAGAAAGCTTCTGAGCACAAAAAAAAACGACTCTTAAGGCAGACTTGGTGAAGGACTTCACCTGGTTTACTCCTATCGCTGTACCATCCAGCAGTACAGTCAATGCCATCAACAAAATCAACCTCAAATTTCAGATTCTGTCCAACAACCTTGGCACGCTTAAAATAACTGTGGAATTTCTTGCTTTCATCACGAGTCTTCACATGCATCACCAGAGGATCATCCAATAAATAGATATGTGCAAAAGTACACAATAAAATTCTATCATGAAGAGCCTCTACATTAATCAAACCCCGTCCTCCAGAATTGATTGGCATATATAAACGGTTAAGAGAGGAACGAGGGTGGTGG